TCTGGGCTACGGTGTACTTGGGGGGTCTACTGCCTAACCCCACCAAATCCGAGAAGGATCCATTCTGCCTGTCCACTGCCTTTGCACCATCAGATAAAGATTTGCCAAATTATAATAGAAATCTTACTTGGACTGCAATCATAATTCATTGGCAATGAAAACAGGTGAAAACAATTGAAAAAGTGAAAAACAAACAAAAACATTCACTAATTTAGACAAAAACAAACTCACACGCATGAAACGCCGAAATGGCGACAAGTGCATGGCAGCTCCAGGGTTGCTACTTCGTAGAACGCGCTGCACATCGGTGAAGCGGCTATTACATGACAAGAATGGATCGACGTTCACTATCTTCAATGTTCACGTCAAACATCGAGAATGAGTGCAATCATTTACATACCTCCTGACGAGGTGCAGTGACATGCAAATCAGTGGGGAAGTTCATATTTCCCATCATGAAAGGAAGATGTCCAGAAGAACCTAAACCACTTCGGGAGATTGAATATTTCTTGACTAGGAACCACACCTGCTTGACGCATCCTACCATGGGCAAAAGAACTAGGCACGGAAGGCCTTACGGTACTTGGCGGAACGGGACCATTGGAAGAAGCAGACTGTGTCACTGTGCTTGGTGGTAAAGCGTTGCTGGTCGTATTCTGAGAAGTCTCCTGTTCCGGTGGGTTGGCGAATACATCGAACTGATGGACTTCAACGTGGTAGCCGATGGCCGTGGGTTGCCTTCTAAATTTACGATGTTGATAACAACATACTCTTTCAGTAATTACACAAAGGAGGACGACAAATGATAGGTTCAATATAAGGAAAAGCTGCTATGAAAGTCAATATCATTTTTTGTCGCATTTACCAAAACTTCTACTTTGGCCTCAGTAAAGACATACCCATCTTCCGTATGTGCTCCACTCATCGGCATGTTCATCATTTGTGGTGGCATTGCAGGCATCCCCGGATTCTGGCTGGCTTCCTAGAGATAAAACATGGCATGACTGTAGCGAGAAAAAACGTGGAAATATAACGTTGCCTTTGCAACACCCCAAAAGGAAAACAACCTTAGCTAGCTACTTGGGATGGCAAACAAACATAAAGAAAAGAGAGTACAACAACTTTACGAAAATTATGGATCCTCAACACTTTTCTACAACCAGCGAGAAGGAGACGACACCTCAATGGGGCATGCCTTTGCGGACTACTGGTCCTAACATGATACACAACACTAGGACGAAAGGCACAGCAACCCGCAGAGGCATGGCTAATTAAAATGTTCGTTTCTCTACCGCCGGCCAGCAGTTCTCGCATGGAACCCCAAGCAGCACTTTTCTTCAAGCCTTTTGAATGCCATCTTCGCTTTTATGATCGACTGAACAACGCACATTATTGTGAAGGTGATACCCGTAACTGATGAAAATACGACTTATCTTGCGACATTGTTTTTGCACGAGTAAGGACAGAAGTGCAAAGCGGCAGCGCAACTTACAAGGGAAGAACACTTGGTCGAAGTGGCGCTTCCATATAAATGTATACTGCCTTGAAGAGTATAGAATGCTGATTCCGAATGTGCCTTCCGTATGTGCAAAGCGCTTCTGTGGGGGGAATTATAAGAATTTTTTGATGCAAAAATTTCAACGCGCAACCACAATAAGATCATTTAAATTTAGTCTGAACTTAGTCCGATGGGTCATGATTACTGCCGCGGCGCTTTATGCAATTAATACCATCAGTCTAATAAACTCATGCTGGCCATTACTCCTTCCAAGCGCCACTAAGGTCTCAACAATTGTTTTTAACTTACCTAAACCCTTTAACTTTTGCCTCAAAAACCGCCCATAACTCACCTCCCAGAAGTGCTTTGCAGATACAGACTTGAAATC